CTAAATCAAAGTTTCGCGTTGTTTTCAAATCTGCAATTAGACTTCATCTATCAGTTCTATTTTTTTATATTATTACTAATTCCATATAAAAAATAATTAAAAGAAAAAAAATTGTTTTCAAATTATTACTCATTTGATTTTTAATATGTTAACAATAATCAGTCCAAATTTTCATTTTTAACCTATTTTTTTGGTTCTATAAAATTGATGAAAAATTTTTGATAAAGATTTATGAAAGTTTATAGCAAAAAAAAATTGAATATATTACCATAACTTTTAGCTCAATTACAAGTTTAAAATTGACTTCTAGGCCTGTCAACAAAGGAAAAATTTCTTAAAAAATTCCCAACCAAATTTTGTTTTATTAATAGTTGAATTAAAATATGTATAATGACATACTAATAGTCTTCATTGATTGAAATTGAGCTTTTTTTTACAGCCTCGCAAAAGTTCAAAAATATGAGCTTTTTTAATTTTCTCAAAAAATATTTAACTTACAAAAAAAAGTTTCGTACAAAAGTTGTCTAAAAGACAATGATAAACAAAAAAATTATTTTTGGAGTTACATTACATTTAATATGAGTACTAAAATTTATATTCCCTTTTTTTCATTTTACGGTTACTTTTTATCATGTTATACTTACATTAGACACAATGTTAAAAAGCTAATGTGTGTATGTGTGAGTTTATTTATTTATTGTATCATTAAAGTGTAGTGTATATTAATATACAAGCGATAGAGTAGGTAATTGATTTGACGCTATATTATTTAAACCCAACTAAACGCTAAATTGTACATTCCCAAACAACAATCATATTATGTCAATTGCCACCGGAATTTCTGGTAATCTTTTTCTTTTTCTTTGCCTTAATCCCAACTACTTGGGGTCGGCNATTTTTCTTTTTCTTTGCCTTAATCCCAACTACTGGGAGTCGGCCACCCTTATCCTAAGCTTCCACTTGACACGATCACCCACATCTTCTACGCTCTCATCAGCTGTCCTCATGTCGCATTCAATAACATCCCTCCATTTCTTTTTTGGTCTTCCTCTACCTCTTCTTGCTTTAAAATTCATTTCTATAACTGTTCTTACAGCTTCCCATTCTTCTCTCCTCATAACATAACTAAACAATCTAAGTCTATTTTCTGTCATCTTATCCACGATTGACGCAACACCTATACTTCCTCTTATATGCTCGTTCCTTATCCTATCTTCTCTAGTCACTCCACTCATCCAACTAAGCATTCTCATCTCTGCTACACTTATTCTCTGCTCTACTTTCTTATCAANTATCCTATTTTCTCTATTCACTCCACTCATCCAACTAAGCATTCTCATCTCTGCTACACTTATTCTCTGCTCTACTTTCTTATCAACCGCCCAACACTATGAACTATACATCATAGATGGCCTCACAATTTCATACTAAATTTAAAAACTACAATTAGTATTTATTCATATATTATATTTTAAAATCAAAGAACTACTAATCAGGATATAATTAAAGAAATAAGAGTTTATGTTGCTTTTGAAATAATCTACCAATTTCTCTAAATGAAACACTATCTACAGATTTGCATCGAAGCGTTTCTTATGATAGTGATTTTAATCACTGTCAGATATCATCTATACTTATCCCATCTATGCCTCGTCCACACTGTGCCTCGACCCCACTGTGCTACCGTTTTTATTTATAACACAGTAAAATTATTCTTTTTAATTATAAAATTATGTGTGAAAAAATAAAAACACTACTTGAGATTGGCAGTGGGAACGATTCCAAGAACGCAAAACAGAATTTTTAAACCGTCCATTCAATTAACTACATATTAAGTGAACGAGTTTTGAGGCAAAAAGTTAACGACATTGCGTTGAGGTCAGTCATTGTGCTCCTCTTTCTTAGGATCAATTCTCATATACTCTCAAAACTTGTTGCACTACATACAAACTGCTTTTTTAAAATAGTAACAGTAAAAAAGAATGAACGAGCTAAAATAAAAAGTTATTAAACATTTGTGGATAAATTATTATTTTCTGATTTAAAGAATGAATTATTTTGAACAAAATAAAACGGTAAAATCAATAGTACTGGAAGAGTATGGTAGTTATGACAAAATTAATGTAAGTTTGGTTTTTAATTTTTATAAACTCTTATTTTATAATTATTATAATTACATTTTTTTGAAAAAGGACACAAGTACCCATTATTTTTCTTAGTATTAATTTTTTCATTGATTCAAAAAAAAATAGTTTAAAAATATCTGTTATGAAAGACATAAATTAGAATAGTTAAACCTATTTATCAATATATATATAAAAAAATTTTTTAACATTTTTGAATTTTTAATATAGATAAAAAATATGCCGTTAAATAATTTGGGACATGATGATATATGTGTATCAGTAGAATTTTGTGGAGTTAATTTTTGTGACATTTTAGTAAGACAAGGCTTTCTAAGAGAATTAACTACACCTCGTATACTTGGATGTGAATGTGTTGGTACAATAGATAATATTGGCAAAAATGTGAAGAATTTTCAAGTAATAATTGAATTTGAAAGTATATAGTAATAAAANGAATTTGACAGTATATGGCAATAAAATACCATAACTTTGAAATGTGATAAATATATCATGTAATACTAAACTAATCAGTAATTATTCTTATTTTAAAATTTCTTTCTAGCTTGGTGACCGAGTGTTATGTTATGTTTGGACAGGTGGTCTTTTTAGGGAAAAAGTAATAGTACCTGCTATAAATTGCTATTTAATTCCATCTGATATTAGTAGTCAAGATGCTGTGTCATTACCTGCTAATTACTTGACTGCTTATATAAGTGTTTTTACTATGGGTANTGAATTTGAAAGTATATAGTAATAAAATACCATAACTTTGAAATGTGATAAATATATCATGAAATACTAATCTAATCAGTAATTATTCTTATTTTAAAATTTCTTTCTAGCTTGGTGACCGAGTGTTATGTTATGTTTGGACAGGTGGTCTTTTTAGGGAAAAAGTAATAGTACCTGCTATAAATTGCTATTTAATTCCATCTGATATTAGTAGTCAAGATGCTGTGTCATTACCTGCTAATTACTTGACTGCTTATATAAGTGTTTTTACTATGGGTAATTTACAATCTGGAGACACAATCCTCATTCACTCAGCTGCTGGTAATATTTCTAAATAAAATTTATCATATTTATGAAATAGGTTTCTTAAATATGGAGGTATATATATATATATTTATTTATATTTAGGTGGTGTTGGATGTGCAGCTACTCAATTAGCGAAAACAGTAAATAATGTAACTATTGTTGGAACTGCATCAGAATTTAAACACAACAAGTTAAAAGAAAATGGTGTACATTATACATTGTCTCATGAGAACTATGTTAACCAAGCAAAAGAAATTACTAAAAATGGTTTTGACGTTATAATTGACAGTATAGGTGGTGCAAACATAGAAATTAGTAAAAATTTGTTGAAAACTTGTGGTCGTTTAGTTCTTATAGGTAATTTAATAACAAATTTACCTTAATTTTAATGTGTTTTATTGTGAATTTCAAAATTTTTAGGCGGAAGTACTTTTATCCATGGAGATACATTAAATATAATTAAAACACTTTATACTAATTGGCAGACAAAAAATATTCACCCTCGTAGTGTAATTGAATTAAACATAAGTATATCAGGAGTTCATTTAGGATTAATATTTGATTCAGATCCTCAAAAAATAAATAGTATAATGACAAAATTATTCAAAATGTTGAAAATGGGTTATATAAAGCCCATTATTTTTGAAACTGTTAATTTTGAAAATNGCCCATTATTTTTGAAACGGTTAATTTTGAAAATGTTAGTAAAAATTAAAGAAAAATTGTATTATATTAACTAGTAAATTTTACTTTTGAAGCTATTAATATTATTTAAATAGTTAAATATTTGGCTTTTGATTTCTTAATGAACTTCACAATATAGAGTGAAATTAAAAGTTAACTCATATTTTATGTTCTAGGTAATTGAAGCTCAGAAACTTTTATCTGAAAGAAAAAATTTTGGCAAAGTTATTTTAGCTTTAAAGTAAACTTTAATCTGTTTTTTATTGAATTTAGATTAAGTTAGATAAAATTATTCAGTGACGTAAACAGTGGTAATGAGGGTAAACGCTCACCATTGATAAAAAAAAAGCAATTATTTTAGATAATAAATCACATAAAAAAGGGTTTATAAAATTGTTTTTTTGGTAAATTTATTTATTTAAGTCTTATTGCTGTAAATTATTGTTGAATGGAATAGGTTATGTGTTTAAAAGATTTAGAAATTATTCGTAATATAATAGTATTTAATATAAAATGTTAAAACATATAATATAAGAGATGTACAACGGCAACGGGTCACTTTACTCGATAGACGGTGAAACTACGACTAAACTGTAAACATGTATACAATAGGCTGCATTGAGTAAAACAACATAATCGTAAAAGGAATGTGTCCCTTTGACCTTGTACTATACTAACATAAGTAAAAATACATTAAACTGTTATCTTAAATAATATTACTGTACCCAGTGTGTTGTTTAATAATATCAACA